AAGCAGGGCACGCACTCCTCCCCGGGCGAACGCTCCGCACTGAGTGCAGCGGAGCAGCCTGGGGGCAGCGATCACGGAAGACCCCCGAGCATCGTCTGGTGACTCGAAAGAGGGTGCTGGCAGAAGTGGAGGAGGGGGAGGAGGAGGAGGAGGGGGAGGAGGAGGGGGGGAGGAGAAGGAGGAGGAGGCGGAGGAGGAGGAGGAGGAGAAGACGGAGGAGGCGGAGGCGGAGGCGGAGGCGCATGCGGAGGAGGAGGAGGATGAGGCAATTACCGCTGTCTCCTCATCGATTGGCGCCTCAGCCTGCGTGGCAAGCACACCACGGAGACGGCGCGAGAGCGACGGCGGCTGAGGCGGGACGGCCTGGGCCCCCCGCGGGCGCCCACAGAGATGCGGGGGCGAAGGGCGGAAGAGAAAAAGATGGGGGCCGGGCTGGCTCAGCTTGGGCGGTAGAACGCGGCAGGTGGGCACGCGGCACCTTTGATGCCATGACTCCTGCCGCGCACCGCCACAATTTGCGCAGCGCGGCTGCGCGCATTCTCTGCTGGCACGCTCCCCCGCCTCGGAAAGTTGCAGGGGCGTCGCCTCCAGTTCCCAGCCCATCCCTTGTCCTCGCAGCCCCGCGCAGTCCCACCGGGGCGGCACGGCGCGCTTCCCAAACCCCGGCGTTTCATAACGTCGACCCCCAGAGATCTGGACCCCTTCCCCTGGACCGGGTTTCCATCCCGAATCGTTTTTGGACAGTCCCGAGGGCACCCGGAAGCCGAAAACTGAGGAAGACCTCCCGCCGGGATTGTTCCGCCACGCGAGGGGCTCTGGGTTCCAGTCCTTTGTGGGACCCAGAAACGGCAGGGCCGTTTTTTCACCGTTTCCGAAAAAATGTCCCTTGAAAAAGGAAACGGCAACAAAAACGGCAACCGGAAACGGCAAAAAAACGGCAGGCAAAAAAACGGCCCCGTCGTTTCCAGGGCCACTCGCCTTTCTCGCAGCCTGGGCAAGACCGTCCTACCAGGACGCTTCAAGGCGAGTCTGGCGGACTGCGCGCACCTGCCAGCGGCGGGCGGCGCCCAGCGCCCCAGCGGGGCCTCCCGCCCCTCCAGGAGGAGCCAGGCCCACGCTGGCCCTCCAGAGGGGCGCACCTCCTCCTCCTCCGCGTCCTCCTCCATATAAATTGCCACCACCTCAGGCCTCCTCCTTTTCCTCCTCCTCCTCCTCATTCTCATCATCGTCCTCCTCCTCCTCCCACTCCTCCTCCTCCTCCCCCTCCTCATCCTCTCCCTCCTCGTCCTCCTCCTCCTCCTACTAATTACCTCCATTTCCTCCTCCTCTTCCACCTCCTCCTCAGGGGGCACCAGGCCACACCACAGAAATTGCCGCCCCTACCCCCTCAACAACGCCCAACGGCGGGACAAGCGGTGCCCTGTGCGCCAGACCTGTCGGATGGGAAAGCCACAGGGGAGGTCGGGAAACGACTTGGAACTGGCAGTGCATCGCCCAGAGGATAGTGATGACAAGCGAAAGACCAGATTTCTTCCCCTGGTACGCCACCCGCTCCCGCATCGACAACGAGTCGGCGACCCGAGTAGAGAAGCAAAAACAGTTGCCGAGCCGTAAGTTTCCGGAGGCCCGTTCGGATTGCAATTGCTGCTGGCACGTGCTGTTGGCAAATGCTGCTGGCACGTGGTGATGGCACGTGCTGCACGTGTGTTACTGGCACGTGCTACTGGCACGTGCTACTGGCACGTGCTGTTGGCGCGTGCTGGAACGTACTGCTGGCGACCACTGCTGACGCGTGCTGCTGGCACGGGCTGCGATGGGTGTGCCTACCGAGCGCGAGGTGGCACGAATCTATCAGACCGCCTGTCGCGCCGGCGGGCTCGGTCCAGCCGGAACAGTGGGCCGCAGGCCAGCTGGGTATGCTATGCAGAAGGCTTTAGACCATTGCCCTGGTGCGGAGTACTGGAACTGAACACAACAATGGCGCAGGGCACCTGGCACATGTGATACCTATACGACTACCCTGCGGGTGATAAGGAGGTTGGGGGGGGGAGGGACCCAGCAATGGGCAACAGCGGTGATTGTTGTTCTGACGATGCCAGTGGAGATTGTTGCGTTGCCGCTCGCTCTTGGGAGCTTTGGTGTCGAGTTGTTTACGTCACCCTTCGCTATTGGGCACCTTGGTACTATCCCCTCGATCAATCTCACTCGATCAATCTCACAATCGATATCACTATCGATCTCACTATCGATCCCACTATCGATCTCACAACCGATCTCACTATCGATCTCACTATCGATCTCACTATCGATCTCACGATTGATCTCACTATCGATCTCACGACGGGACACCGACAGGACACCGCAGGACACCGACGGGGCACCGACGGGGCACCGACGGGACACCTGCGGGACAGCGGCGGGACACCGCGCGGCCCCGAACGCCGGGTCGCCAACAATTTGTTCCGGCCGCGCCTCAGCCACAGGAGACTTTCCTCTCTCCCGCCCACGCAGCTTCGCCTCGCCCGCACGCACGGCACGCACGAACACGAAACCGAAATCGATTTCCCGGTAGGGGGGCTCTCCGTTCCACTTCGATCTCACCCCCCAACCTCCGATCCAAGCTCCTACTCTACATGCTGGATCGGACAAGCCCGAACAACGGACCGCGGGCTAGCTGGGTATGCTACGCAAGAGAACCTTCGCCCACAGTCCTGGCGTGGACTACCAGACCTTACCTAGGACGTACACGGGGTCGGGGACAATCGGCTACGCAAGCTGAATGACTGATGCCAATACCCCTGCCGTGCCTGTTGACTCGGTCAGACCGAAACATCGGTACGCGGGCTAGCTGGGCACGCTGCGTAGAAGCCCTGAGCCCAGTCCTGGCTTGGACTATTAGCGCTACTCATTAGGATGGGGTGCGACCAATGCACAATTCCTGCCGTTCCTGTTGAACCGGACTAGCCAAAACAACGGACCGCTGGCTGGGTGGGCGTGCTGCGCAGAGAGCTCTCAGAGCGTTCCGGAACGCTCTGAGCAGGCCGCGGCGCCCGAGACACCCTCCAGAGCGGCCGCCTCTCAGAGATTCTCGCGATGCATCCTGATACCCGCATGTTTCTCCTCGTCCTGGCTTCGTCCGACTACTCCGGATGGGACGATAATCGTCCCCCCTTGAATCCGCTGGGGGGGTTGGGCACGTGCTGTCGGAACGGGTGGAGGGAGGGTTGGAGGAAGAGGGGGAGGATGAGGAGGGGGAGGAGGATATGGAGGGGGGCGGGATTGCGCAGGCTCGGCTGGGAGGTTACAATCAGAACCCCCTGGATAAATACCCCATCCAGAATCTGACACTTCCCCCGTTGACCTCCGCGGCGCGCTCGTTTGCCCGAGGGCGAGCCTCTCTGGCGGCCGCGCGGCGACCTGCGCGGCGCCCCGAGCGCGCCCCGCTGCCGCACCGCCAGCGGCGCCCCTCTCGTCGGCGGGGCCGCCGGCCCCGGCCGGCGCGCTGCGCGGCGGCGAGGGCCGCGCCGGAGGGGGAGCGGGCTCCCGGAGCAGCGAGTCGGGTGGCAACCCTCGTGGGGGCCTCCCGTAGCGTCGTGTCGTCTCTTGCGAATCGACGCCGGTGGACGCCAAGTCGGCGCCACACCGACGCCACACCGATGCTGGCCAGCGCTCCATCGGCGCTATCTCATCGACTCCAGACGCGCTACTCGACGCTGATCGATGCTAACATACGGCATCCAGAGGGTGCACCGTGCTCCCATGTTGGCCACTGAAGAAGATCGGGCAGACGTAAGAGTCGGGTTCGGGGGCCTCTTGGGGCCTCTTTTGGGGCCCTTGGGGGCCTCTCGGGTCCCCGCTGCGGCCTCGGGGGCCCGCTCGTTGCGGATGGCTCGGCAGGTCCGCTGGAGTTCCCCCTCTCTCGTCGGGGAGGCGCAAGACTCGAGCTCGGGGCACTCGGGTTGTCCTGACGGGGCGCCATCAAGAAAATGGCGAGGCCCAATCTGAACTGTGACGCGAGCTCCCGCTGTACGCGTCCCACGAGAACTTGACCGTCAAATCCATGACGGGCTCGCCAAGAAGCGGCGGATTGCACGAGTTCTGGCGTACTCGAGTCTTAGGGTTCCCCGCGAAGAGGCCACGGATGTCTGTTGGCGCCTGCGGGGCCCCGAAACCCTCCAGGGGTCCTGGGGCCGACCGAGGACGGCTCGGGTTGAGAAGCTGGTATCAGTAATGGTAGCAGTGGCAGGAAGAGCAGCAGCCGCAGTCGGCGAGGACGATAACGACGAGGACGATAACGACGAGGACGACTTTGAGGTTAGTCCCAGGCAACATTCGAGTAGGGGATCGACGACAGAATCGGATTACCCCAGAGCTGCTTTTTCGTGGAACCTACGAACAGTACGCACACTTCTCGTAGATATTCGATCTCTCTACACTTGCTCTGAAGATCCACGTCGAACAAACCAAGTGTGGGGTACAGGTCAATTCTGCTGTCGACGTCGCCCATTCGAAACGTCCGCTGTCCTCAGGACCCCAATCCCTCCTGTCGGGGGCGCCCACGAGGGGGGCGTCCAGGAGAGGGGGGGGGTGCAAATCATGGCCCCAACCGTGTGCGCGGCCCATGGAGGGGGGGCCCGGGACGTGCTGAAATGAGGTGCGGCGCCGTGACATCTGGGGAGATGTCATGGCCCCCGGCATAAGCCATGATACCCCCCCCCTCCCAGACCCCCGACGTTATGATTTTTTCATTACGTCGACCCCCAGAGGTCCCGACCCTTTCCCCAGGACCGGCTTTGCATCCTGAGTCGTTTTTTGACGCTCCCGAGGCCCGGTGAGGGCCCCCCGAGGCCGAAAATTAGGAAAAACCTTTCGTCGTGATTTTTTCATTACTCGAGGGGGTCTGGGCTCCCACTGTCCCTCTGGTCATCACCCCCCTCTTGGCCGCCCCCGATCCTGGACGGTGGCGGGCCGGGCCGGGGGCGAGGCGCGCCCCGGGTGCCTCAGAGCTCGGCGCGCTCGGCCCGCGGCACCTCGGGCGGAGGGGGCGGAGGGCCCGGGCCGCGGGAGCCCCAGGAGAGGACGCGCGCGCGCGCGCCCGCCGCGCAGCGGTCCTAAGCAATCAGCCCGCGGAAGGACGCGCGGTAAGGGTGCAGGGGCCTTGGATGGCCATGCCGACCCTCTTCGAGCGGCGCGCGCGCGCGCGCCAGCCGCGAACAAAACGGTGCCGGTGCGGAGCGGGCCTGGCAGCCCGTGCGAGAAGGACGCGGTATCTAAGATGCAGGGGCCTCGGAGGACCATGCCGACCCGTTTGGAACGGGGCGTGGCCGGCGAAGGCGGCCCGGGATGTGTCTGAGAGGGGTAGCCTTGGAAAGCTGCTCATCCCTGCAGTGCGGGTTGACTGAACCCCAGCCGCGGTTGCGATCACGCTGGGCAAGCAAGCTGAGGAATGTGGCGTGGATGTGGCGTCAAAGACCGCCCCCCCGGCCCGTCGTCGTCGTCGTCGTCGTCGTCGTCGTCGTCGTCGTCGTCGTCGTCGTCGTCGTCCTCGTCGTCGTCGTCGTCGTCGTCGTCGTCGTCGTCGTCGTCGTTGCCGTCGTCGCCGTCGTCGTCGTCGTCGTCGTCGTCGTCGTCGTCGTCGTCGTCGTTGCCGTCGTCGTCATCGTCGTTGCCGTCGTTGCCGTCGTTGCCGTCGTCGCCGTCGTCGCCGTCGTCGTGCTCGTCCTCGTCACCGTCGTCGTCGTTGTCATCATCGTCGTCGCCGTCGTCGTCGTCGTGCTCGTCGTCGTCGTCGTGCTCGACGTCTCAGAGCGGCGGGCCCGAGCTGTGGGCAGCAGCGCTCGAGTCGCAGCGACACGGGGCGCCCGGGCGCTGGCGCAGTTCGCGCTGGCGCGCGGACTCGCGGGTGCTGCTGGAATGCGGACAAGCAGAAAAGTGACGGAGGCAGTGACTACCTACCAGACCAACCCAACCCGAAGACCAGAATTTCGGGTTGGGGGGGGTGCCGGCTTCATGTGTGTTTTTCATCTGTTCCCCGACCCCCGGGTTGGGGTGGTTGGTTGGGGTTGGGGTTGGGGTCGGGTTGGGGTCTCTCGGGTTGGGCTGGGGCGGTTCGGTGGGCGGTGAGGCAGAGCGGGCATGCGCAGGCGGAGGGAACGAGGAGGGGCCAGGGGAGCTCGCGCCGCGCCGCGGCTGCAGGGAGCCTGAGCACCAGGAGCCCCGTCCGCGGCGTCGCCTTCGAGCCACGAGCACAGGACACGACCCCCGGATTCGCGAGGCCACCCTCATACAATGAAGGCCCGACCACAAGAAACCTTCCACAAGAAACCCAGCCCTGAGTCCCCAGGCTGTCCATTCATTTGGTGTGGGAGCGTCACGCGTTCCATAGCAAAGCCATCGAAACCCAAGAACCCAGGGCACTCTGGAGGCAAGCAGGGTGCTTCTTGGCATTGGCCGCCACTGTACGCCCCCCCGATTCGCGAGGCCACCGTCATACGCTCAATGCGTGCTCCCGATGGCCCATTCGAATGTACGCGCAGGTCCTTTCTTGATTCTGGAGGGGCACCCTCCCCAAACATCCAGTACAAGACGGATGTCTTCATAGTGTTCGACCTGGGGAAAATCCGAGGGCCTCCTGGGTGTCCCTCGGGAGCATCTTGGGCTGCCCTGAAGCCGTCTCGGAAGCCTCTTGGGCCGTCCTGGGCCCGCGTTGGAGGCTCGCGTGGGGCGATCCTGGGGCAATTCTGAGGCTTGAAGGCCCCGTCGGAAGCGAACCACATCGGAAAACTTTCTGTTTTGTTTTGCGATTTGGGACCCTCGGAAGCGTCCTCGCAAGCCTCCAGGGAGCCACAGGATAACTTGGGCCAGTCAAGGAGCTTCTTTCTGTGGAGCTCTGGGAGCCTCCTGGGGTAGCCCAGGGGCCCCGTGGGAGTGAGCGCTCCCTGAACCAGTTGGGGAGCCTCTAGACGCCGACATGGTCCCCTTAAGGCCCCCAAAAGGGTCCTGGACGCCCGGGGGCAAAAAAGCTTACCGGGAGGGGGGGGGGAACCCGGAAGGGTGTGCCAGCGCAGGGCCCAAGGCCCACGGCACCCAGTTTGTTTTGGTCGTTGATGCTGTTGTTGAACTCTCATTTTTGAAGAATAATTATTGTTGATCCCCCCCCACCGGTGCACATTGATTTTTTTCGATTGAAGTGCCACCCCCGGGGCTCGCACCTTGTTTTTTCTCAAGGAAAGTCTTCCTGCTCAAACTGTGCCCCTGCCCCCCGGGCTACAACAACAACGGCTCCCGCCTGAGACTTCCTCGATTTTTACTCAGGACCCCCGCTCCCGCCTGAGACTTCCGCGCAATTTACTCAGGAAAGGCGCTCCCGTCTGAGACTTCCTCGCAATGTAATCAAGACCCCCGCTCCCGCCTGAGACTTCCGTGCAATTTACGTGGGAACGGCGCTCCCGCCTGAGACTTCTTCGAATTTTACTCAGGACCCCCGCTCCTGCCTGACATTTCCGCGCAATTGACTCAGGAACGGCGCTCCCGCCTGAGACTTCCTCGCAATTTAGTGAGGACCCCCGCTCCCGCCTGAGACTTCCGTGCAATTTGCTCAGGAACGGCGCTCCCGCTTGAGACTTCCTCGCAACTTAGTCAGGGCCCCCGCTTCCGCCTGAGATTTCCTCACAATGTACTCAGGACTGCGCTCTCGCGTGCGACGTCCTCACAAAAAATTCTGGAATTGCGTTTCGGCGCTCAGGAACCACGCACGCGCCAAGGACGCCTTCACAACGTGGTATCTCCCCTCTTCCTTCGTCCTTCCCCCTCCTCTTGCAGGGCCCGCGCCAATTCCAATGGCGGGCAGAGAGATGTACGCCCCCGAAAGATTGTCCGCCCGTTCCGGTTTGCCCGTACGTCTAAGCCCGCCGGCCCCAGCAAGGAGAAATAATCCCCCCGAAAGGGGTGTGATCGAAGACGAAGAGGGCGGGTATCGAGGGTGTAGGGTATACGTGTTGAATGACTCGCGGGCAAGTAAGAGCGTACAGCCTTAAAATGGTTGTTGTTGTTTTGGTTGTTGTTGTTGTTGTTGCTGCTACTGTTGCTGTTGCTGTTGTTATTGTTATTGGTGTTAATGTTGTTGGTGGTGTTGTTGCTGTGATTGTTGATGTTGTTGGTGTTGTGATTGTTGTTGTTGTTGGTGGTGTTACTGTTGTTGTTATTATTGTTGTTGTTGGTGTTGTTGTTGCGGCTGTTGCTGTTGTTGCTGTTGCTGTTGCTGTTGCTGTTGTTGTTGTTGTTGTTGTTGTTGTTGTTGTTGTTGTTGTTTTTGTTGTTGATGTTGGTGTTGGTGTTGCTGCTGTGATTGTTGATGTTGTTGGTGTTGTTGTTGTTGTTGTTGTTGTTGTTGTTGTTAGTGATGTTGTCTTGCTATGTGGTTTGTTGCTGTGTGCTTTTGTATACATCCATATATATATATATATATACATCGAATAATTCCTCTCTCTCTCCCTCTGCGTCTCCTGCCCCTTTCCACCTCCTCTGCGGTCATCTTCCCCCTCCCTCTCCCTCCTCTTCATCGTCCTTCTCTTCCTGCTTGGCAGTTTGTCTGACGAGCATTTCGATTTAGAATCAACGGTTTGCGTGCGCATCGAAGTCTCTCAAGGTTCATTTCGATATGTCGCAGAAACATTCACGGACCCAGGAGGAGAAGGGAGAAGGGGGGAGACGCAGCAAGAGCAGAAGCAAGGGAGGAGCACGGAGAGACGACGGCGGAAGACCCCGCGACACGGCCGACCGTCGACCGACTGACGGCGGCGAGGACCGAGCGACCCCCGCGACCCAGAGGGGAGGGGACCCGCGAACCACCGTGTAGGAACGCTGCTGGCAGAGGCAGAGCAAGCTGCCATGCCGCTGAAAGCCCAGCATGGGGCAGCAAACTGCAGCCCCAGCCGCGGACGCGCACGCCCAGGTGCGACACTGGGAGGCAAGCACAAACAGAAACGAGAGGCCGCGGCCACGCCTGCCCGCGCCCCCGTGCCAGGGCGCAGGCAGCGAGGCGGCGAGGCCGCCGCCAGCCCAGCGGACAGACGGAAAGAGGCGCCGACCACGAAGGGTGCCGCGTGGAAATTGCCGCGCGCACCCGGGAGGGGCGCAGGGGAACCAGTGCCTCGGGCAATGCATGGGTGGCGTTGGCAAGGCAGCACCCGACCGAGTACCACGAGATACTCCAGATTTCGTAATAAAGGGAGGGGGGTCTCATTTCGGGGGGGGGTCTCTTCCAGGCTATCTTGGAGGGCCTGGGGGGTCTGGGGCGGATGTCTTGGAGTGTTCTCCCACGGGGGAGGTCTGAAATGGCTTGTCTTGGAGCCTCCCTTTTATTACGAAATCTGGAGTACCCTGGAGGTGCAGTCCAGCCAGGCGGCCAAGCATGCCTCCCGCCTGAAGCGGCAAGGGAGTCTAACAGTTGGCCAGAAGAACGGCAGCACTGTGCAACGCGAGGCTGAAACGAGCAACCCCAGGACGAGACCTGGGGAGCACGCAAGGACGAGAAGCGGGCTGCGACCAAGCCGGCCCACAACCCATGTCGGGACGCAGGCAGCGAGGCGACGAGGCCGACGCCAGGGCCAGAGGACGGACGGAAAAAGGTGCTACCACACAGGGTGACAAGGAAATTGCCTCGTGCAACCGAGTGGAGCGCGATAAAGTCAAACGCGCGGCCACGCACCATGAAGGTTTCCCCCGAAGACAAGAGGTCCACGCATCACTCAAGAGGCGGGCCGCGGCCAAACCGACCCACGCCCCTGACGGGGGCGCGGGCGCCAAGGCGAAAAGACCAACGTGAGGTCCAGAGCACAAGCAGAGCAAGACGGCGCAGGGTGGCGCGAGGAAATGACCTCGCGCAGCCGAGTGGAGCGCGGCACGAGGAGCCAGTGGCCAGGACAAAAAAAGCACGGGTGGCAAGGCAAGGCGCAACACGGCCGAGTGCCGAGAAGGCCTCCCCCGAGGCGCAGGCCAGCAGGGCGGCCACAAAGTCCTCGCTGTCCAGGGCGACGAGGTGCAGATTCGGCAGGGCCCGCCAATGGCGCCGCCTACGAGGCAACAATCCCTGGCACATTACGCTGCACTCAGGGGCGCGCTCACGAAGCCAGAGTCCCTTTCCCATGACGCCAGATTCGCGATCCCAACACCAGAATCCCGAGTGCACTGCTCCGTGTTCGCGTTTTCACGTAAGCTACGCCAGATTCGAGCTCCCGTGGCCAAGCACCTGAATCAATTGCTCGTGGCTTGTGCTCCCCAAGCCAGAAGCCAGAATCCGTCGTCAATGCAGTGCGCCAGGTTCGCGCTCCGTGAGACGCGCTCCCAAAACCAGATTCCTTTTGTAACTTACGCCAGGCTCGCACTACCGACGCCAGATTCCGTCGGAAAATGAACTAGAACTGGCGCTTCCGAAGTCAGAATACTGGGTAAACCACACCAAGTTCGTGCTCCCGAAATCAGACTTCGTTTGTACATTACGCAAGTTCGCGCTCCCGAAGCCAAATTCCCCCGTAAAGTATGCAAGAGTCGCACGGGGAGCGCTAAGATAAGTGCAACACAGAATTCAAGAATAGCTCCACCATCTCAATATGCGTGGCTGATTCCTGTGTCCCCGAACGATGTTCCCAAATGTCTTCCAGGCGGCGCCAAAACGCCCTGACGCGGCTCTGATAGATTCCATTATGATAGAGAGGGGGCCACCGGCAGAGAACGGAACCACACTCACAAGTACGTGAACTCTGGATGGCTTTGGGGGCCTCGATGAACTGCCGGGAAATTTGGGACACCTCGTGTAGGAGGACAGAGACGAAAACGACGAGGAGAAAGGATAGAAGGGCTCCTCCACTCTCCGCCGCCCCCTCTCCAATCTTCTCCACAACTAGTCAATCTGAATGGGCACCACTCTCTCCTTTCCCCCGATTCTGTCCGAGCGGGGGTTTCTCTTCTCCCGTATATTCTTTCCTGCAGCACAAGAATAGTTACTGATGCTCGTGATGTGTAAATTTTTAGTGAAGTCAGATCAAAACGGTTTGGATCCTGGATCGGCGCTGTTTTCCCGTCCTTCGGGATGGCGCCCTGGCCCAGCGCGGGCGCAGGCCCCATCTATGGATACGGGATGCGAATCGTTTCTTGTCGTTGTTCTCCCCCTTTCCCCCTCCTCCACGTTCCCCTGGTACTTATGCTCTTCCCGCCCCTCCTACTCCTGTTCCTGCTGTTGTTCCTCCTAATTTTCTTGATCCTTCCTCCTCCTCCTCCTCCTCCTCCACCCCCTCCTCCTCCTCCTCCTCCTCCTCCTCCTTCTCCTCCTCCTCCTGCTTGTCTTGCAGAGCGATGAAAGCGAAGTGGCTGCCTCGTTCTGCAAATGCACCCCGTGGCAATCTTTCCCTGCAGGTGCCTGAACACCGAAGAGCTTCCCGGTATCAGGGTGGACGGGGTGAGGTGTCAGATGTGGCGCGAACGTGCCTTGCCCTCCTCCTCCTCCTCCTCCCCCTCCACCTCCTCCTCCTCCTCCTCCTCCCCCTCCTCCTCCTCCTCCTCTGCCTCTCCCCCTCCTCCTCCTCCTCCCCTCCTCCTCCCCCTCCTCAAACTCCTCCCCCCCCCCTCCCCCTCCTCCCCGTCCCTCTTCGGCTCCTCCTGCCTCCTCCTCCTCCTCCTCCTCCCCTCCTCCTCCTCCTCCTCCTCCTCCTCCTCCTCCTCCGCATCTCTCCACCCTGCTCCCAACCACCTGCTTCCCTCCCGGCCAGCACGGCAGGGCACGGGCAAAAAACACGAAGACACTCCGACCTTCGGCCTCTCGCTGCCGCAACTGCCTGGGCGGGGGGCCCCCGACAACCCTTGGCAGGCCGCCCGACCGCGCGGGGGCCTCTCTCCGGTCGACCTCGACCGCCGGCCGCTCGACACGTGACATGGCGTTCGGCGTCCGAGCCGACTCCTCCTCCTCCTCCTCCTCCTCCCCCTCCTCCTCCTCCTCCTCCTCTTCCTCCTCCTCTTCTCCTCCTCCTCCGCCTCGTCCGCCTCCTCCTCCTCCGCCTCCGCCTCCTCCTCCTCCTCCGCCTCCTCCTCCTCCTCCCCCCCGACCTCCCAAACCGCCAGGCCGCCGCCCGGCCCCCGAGAGGGGACCAGGCCCTCCAGGACCCCTGCCGGGCCATCGAGCTGTGCCGCGCCGAGCGGCCGAACCGCCGATGGACCGCGCCGCCGCGCGCGCCCCGCCTGCACGCCGTGGCGGCGGCCGCGGACCAGGTGCGCTGCCTCGTCCCAGGCCTGTGCCGGCCGCCGGGGGCGCGGGCCGAGTTCGGGTCGGGCGAAAGGGGGGGATAGCAAAGGGGGGGTTTGAGAATCAGCTCACGTAGCTGAGGAATGGGCCCCTCGGTGAGGCCGAAACCAGCTGCATGCAGCAAATTTCGTAAACCCCCCTTTCCCAATCCCCCCCTTTCGCCCGGCCCGACGAGTGAGGGGGCAGCGTGGCGGGCCGCGCGGGCTGGCGGGGGCGAGTGGGGCAGAGCCCGTGCAAAACCGATGAGGGCGCGGATCACTTCCTACAAGGTACGGGCGCTGTCCGGCTTGAGAACGCACGCGTCGGTACCTACATCCATAACTTCGAGCTTGCGCCAAGTAGGCTGCAAACCGTGCTGTTGGCCACTGTTGCACGGCATGCATGTACGCCGCGGCCGTGATCCCCTGAAGTGGCATACAATGAGTGTGTCATCAGCGTATACGAGCTCGTGCGCGTGCATGCCAACATTCCAAATCGGCTCCGCCTCTCTTCTCGCGCCGCGTAACAAGTCAGGCATCACGGTTACTAACAAAAAGAGTGGACACCCCTGACTGATGCCGAACGCCTGCGCATACTCCTCTGATATCTGTCTACGGACGCAGAGTGCACGACCAGTGTAAATGGCACGCACGGTACCTATAACGTGCGTGGGGACATCGGACCGCTCCAGTAAGAGCCGAAACAGTGTAACACGTCCTCCCCCAATCCAGCACCAGCAAGACTAAACTCTCGGTTCGTTCTGTCCGCGTATGCCCAAATAGCCGACAAACGAGGAAGATCACATCCGCTGTCCCGCGCTAGCTCGGTGCTCCAGACTATCTGCTCGACGCCCTATAGATGGCTCAAAACACGTGTAGCAACATCTCATAGTTAATCTGAATTAAATGTGACAACGCAAACAGACATGCGACATCTACACTGTTTACGCGTTGCCGTACCGCTCCCCTCCTTCCAGGAAGGCTCATCCAAAACGAAGGGTACCCGAAAACCAAAGTACGTATAATGTTTCGTGGTTTCCAACCCCTCCAGGGGGTGCCTGCCAAAGCGGGCAGGGCATTCGAATCCCAAACTATTTGCAGGGTGTTGTGCCCCCCCTTCCGAGGCGGGGCCCGCCAGAGCGGGCAAGGTATTCGAAACCAATTATATTTACAAGGTTCCGTGACCTTCCTTCCAGGGATGCCGTGCCACAGCGTGCGAAGCATTCGACACCAATACTATGTATCAAGCTTCGTGCCCGCCCGCCCGTCCAGGGAGACCCCGCCAGAGGGCAGGGAATTCTCAGACCATGCTACTCACACGAAGCTGCGCCCCCTCCCGCAACCCTCCAGGCAAGCCCTGCCAGACCGGCAGACTACACGAACACCGTATTACGTACACAACGTCGTAACCCTCCCACCCTTGCAAAGGAGTCCCACCACAGCGGACAGGACATGAACACAAAGTACTCGTGGCACGGTTTCGCGCCCCCCTTCCCCCTTCACCCTTGCCGCAGCGGGCAGGGCATTCGAATACCATGATATTTGTAAACTGTTGTGACCCCCGCTACTCCAGGGAAACCCCACAACAGCGGGCGAGGTATCCGCAAACACTGCGATTTACAAAAGGTCGTGTCCCCCCCGCGCCCTCCAAGGACGCCCCGCCACAGTGCCCGAGACCGATACATTATGCAAAACGCGGAACAGGAGCTGCAAAGGTCAAAATGACCACTCCCGGCGGTTTGCTTAGCCATCCGCCGCAGGGCGATTTTGTGCGTGGCAGTACTCCGGAGCAGTGCCAGGGAGGCCAGACACCCCTCACAAGCCTTCCCTTTCTCGCGAAACTCAAGTCCACGAGGTGTGCCGATCAGGATGCACCCAATGACAGCCTTCCCAGTAGGAGTCGTGACCGCACCCTCCGATGCGGCGAGGACTATAAAGTCAGGGCACTAGGCCTACACTCCCTGGGTCGGCTGCCACGGACTGCCGTCACGGCACACTTGCGTCTGCTGGAGGCCCCCTCTACCTCCTTGGCCTTGATGCCCTCCGCCGCCTCTGGGGAAAGACGGCCGTCGACAGATCCTGCCAGCATCAAGTTACCCCTGGCCGCCATGAGGAAGCTTGCAGTCTGACTTTTCGGCCAGGATTATGCAAAACGCCGTGTCCCTCCCACCTGTCAAGGGGGGGTCCCGCCAGAGCGAGCAGGAGACTCGCAAACCAGACTGTTTCGCAAATGTCGTGCCCCTCCCAACCCGCCACGCGGGCACGGAACTCGAACACCATACTATTTGCCACGTTTCGTGCCCCCCGCCCCCGCCCCCGTCCAAGGAAACTCCGCCAGAACACGCATAGCATTCGCATGCCGGACTGGGCACCTGCGGTAAACCGTCAACCTGGTTACCGCCGCGAAGTCGTAGAGCTCCCAATCACTTGTCACGGCCGTCGTGAGAAATGCAAGGTCTCTTGAACAGATAAGGGCGAAACTGCAGTTTGTAGACAGGTTGATAGGGTTATGAACTCACTCTGGATCTCGATATTCGAAATCAGACACTGATTCGATAAAACACCAACCGTTATGGACTGATACTCATTTTCGAGAGAGCGTGATCCACCGCCGCTTTACGGTGGAAAATTGCCAACCTTTTCCTCCGGAGCCCGGGGGTCGCCCCCCCCCCCCCCTCCGAATATCCCCCCCCCCCCCTCCTCCCCCGGCAAACCCCCCCCCCCTAACCCTCCCCCCCCCCCCCCTCCCCCTCGAAAGCCGGGGGGGGGTCACTACCGGTTCGAACCTCTCCCCCCCTCCCCCCCTCCGGATCCGGAAAACGGGGGGGGTCACTACCGGTTCGAGCCCCCCCCCCCCCCACGAAAACCGGAGGGGGATCACTACCGGTCGAACCCCTCCCCACCCCCCCCCACTCACCGCCAGCAAACGACTCCCGGTCCCTACCACCGTCCGCATCACATCCCCCACTGTTGTTCCCAGCACCACTGTCCTCACCACCACTGTCCCCACTGTGTCCCCACCAGTGCCCCCACCACTGTCGCACTGTCCCCACTGTCCCCACCACTGTTCCCACCACGGTTCCACTCTCCCCACTGTCTCCACGGCCCCAACCACTGCCCGACTATCCCCACTGTCCCCACTGTCCCACTGACTCCTCCGCTGTCCCACTGAGCTGTCCCACTGTTCCCACCACTGTCCCCACTGTCCCCACCACTGTCCCCACTGTACCTCTGTCCCATTGTCCCACCGCCGTCCTCGCCACCGCCTTCACCACTGTCCCCACCACCATTGTACCCTCCACTGTCCCACTGTTTCCACCTCATTCCCACTGTGCCCACACCACTGTCCCCACCACCACCGTCCCCACCACTGTCCACTGTCCCCCCTGTTCCCACCATTGTCCCCACCACTGTCCCCACCACTACCGGCCCACCACTGTCCCACTGTCCCACTGTCCCCACCACTGTCCCGCTGTCCCCTCACCACTGTCCCCACCAACACCGTCCCCACCACTGTCCGCACCCCCACTCGGTTTTCGAGGGGGGGGGGGTTCGAACCGGTAGTGACCCCCCCCCCTTTTCATGATGAACTGGGGGGGGGGAGGGGTTCGAACCGGTAGTGACCCCCCCCGGTTTTCCGGAGGGGGGGGGGGGGGAGGGGTTCGAACCGGTAGTGACCCCCCCCCGGTTTTCCGCCAGCAGCGGTAGAACACGCTCTTTCTCATTTTTCGAAGACAGCTCGAGTAACAAACCAATCTCAGATCTCAGGGAGTAGGAGAGCGAAGCTACTGGTCGTAGCCGCATGCACGAACAGGCAGAGCTGTGAACGAAACCTGAATTTCGAGATTCAAACGAAAATCCATTCGATCCCAAAAAAGCGGTTGTATGTTGATACGAACGGTTGAAAAATAGCTCGAGTGATAGATTGATTTCGAATATCTCAAGGCTGTCGAACAAAGCTTTCGATACTGCTGAATCGCCTTCTGCAAGCGAGAGCTCCGTAATTGATTTGAGTCTCGAGATCAGGCCTGTCAACCGGATGCACGCGAACAAACTGTTTCGCGCGATGACGGTCGACAGAGGCGCCGCCCAAGCGCGCCTTGCATTCGCATGCCGAACTGCTTCCCACGTTGCGTGCCCTTCCTACTTCCTACCCCTCCGGTAGTCTCGAATCGAACTATTCACAACGTTTCGTGCCCCGCCCTCCCACCCGTCCAAGGATGCCCCGACAGACCGGGCAGAGCACTCGCATACGATACTAGTTGCTAACAGAGATGCCCCACCAGACAAGGCGAGGCAGTGCACTCGCAAGCCATACTAATTGTCTGGTCTCGTGGCCCCCCACGCCTCCAGAGAGGCCCCGTCACAGCGGGCAATGTGTTCAAACAACATACTATGTACAACAGGTCGTGCTACCCCCCACCCGTCCAAGGGGGCCCCGCAAGAGAGGGCAGTGAGTTCTCATACCGTACTATTTATCATGTGCCGTGCCCCCCCCCACCCCACCCGTCCGGAAACGCCCCGCCACAGCGGGCACCGGATTCGCAAGCCGCACCATTTGCACAATGACGTGGCTCGCCCACCCCTCCAAGCAAACCCCGCCACAGCGGGCAAGGTATCCGCATACCATGACATTTACCAGAATTCCGTGCCCCCAACCCCCGCCAGAGCGTGCATGGTAATTACTCGCATGCCATACTATGAACTGATTGTGGCGCCCCTTCTCAGCATACGTACTATAGTCATCGGCCTGACCTAAGGAACGATAAATAAGGAATGCAGCCCCTTGTTGTTCCAAGTGAGTCTAAGAAGTCCGAAGGAACACCAGGAGGGCTCGCCGCCAAAAAGGTAGCAGACCGCATATGCAAACCTAAGGAACGACCGAGCCCCTTTTGAAAAGGAAGTGTTCCTTATTCAAGCCGCTCACTGTAACAAAAATTCGTGCCCTTCCCACCCCCTCCACGGAGGCCCCACCAGGGCGGGCAGGGCACTCGCAAACCATCCTATTT